TTGAGAGGTCATTCTGATCCTTTCGGATTCTCTGGGAATCAGCTGTGGTCACACTCCCATGATTGTATACCATAATTGTTAGAATATATATTATCGTGTTTCAATTGGATCTGCTTCAAATGTGCTCGTACAGCCCTATGCTCCCTCTGAACGCCGACTATAAAGGAAAACACGTGAAACTGAAAAACTGCCCCGACATTACATCATGAAAATTGACATGTGAAAAGGCATCCTAGACATCCTTCGAGGCCTTAGACATCTGCTTCAACAGGTAGCTCCGCTTGAAGTAAGTGTTCGGGTGAACAATCGTGTCAAGGTCAGTTTGACTCCACGATCCGTCCTCCTTGACCTTCTTAATCTCGTTCTTGTGCGTCGCCTCGAACACTCTGTTGCAAGCAATGTGATACCGCATTTTACCAACGTCCTCACGCACACCCCGCAGGACCTCCTTGTCACTGACACCGGTGGCCTGGAGGAAGCCCACCAGGTTATCAACGGAGTAATGGCGATAGGGACAGCCGTGAGTCTGGCCGATGCCGGGATTTGAGTCGCCGAGGATCTTCTGGCACGAGTAGGGAGTGTAACCCTTTCCGCGACGGTTCACATCTCCACCAACCTCGCCATAGGCGTGACGAACATTGTACTTGTATTGAGAATTGAATTCGTCATCCGTCTTGCCCTTGAACGACTGACGCCAGAACAAAATACACTCCTCCAAGGACAAGCCAATTCCCTTCAGGAAGAGCGTATACTGTAGTCGACCGAAGTGCTTCAGATGGTTGTTCTTGCGCAAGTTCACGTGCAAGCTCTTCATGCACAAGGGGAAATGTTGTTGGGCCAATTGGTCGATCGAGCTGGCCGTGATCGGAGATCCGTCCACATATCCTTCGCCCTCCGAGTACACCGACTCGGCGCTGCCAAAGTTCTTTGAAAGGTGATTTAGAATTGGTGTTAGACGATCATCCTCGTCCAGCCGGGGGAGGGCACGACTCGTGAGCTAGAATCTAATCAGCCACGACATTTCAAGCGTCAAGCCACCATTGTAGACATATAGACATACCTCGAGTGCGCGTTCCAAGCGAGCGGTAAACTCAGCCATGATCATGCTCAGCTGCTCTCGACCAGGGACATAAGCCTTTCCTTTCTTCAGGAAAACCGAGCGCCGTTCGACTAACTCGGGAACCTTCTCCCAGTCGACTTTATACCAGGTCTCATCATCCAGCCGACGCAGCCCTGGGGTGGAACTCAGGAGACTCTCTGCAATCTCTGTCTTCTCAAAGTCACCTACAGGTTCCCAATCGAGATTCAAGCTATCGATAAATGCGCGCTTCTCCCTTGAGTCGTCCTGCTGGAAACGAAATCTGAATAGCATGGTCTCGGCGCGGGCGAATCGTCGACGGAGGTCCTCGGTGGCTGAGAAGGCCAACCGGAGGATGAAATGGGAGTAGTGGTCCTTTTGACGCTCATTTTTCAAGCGTGGGTCTGCAGCGCCAGAGGGAGAGGAGGTATTGGAGGAGAGAGGGAGGAACTTCTGCAGAAGAGGTGTAATGTAGGTCGCCGTCTCGGCGGGGGACTTGTTTCGATAAGAGCATGCTTCGATCTCGGCCAAGACTGTTTGATATTAGTAGGCTGCAAGAGGATATGAATGTGTAAATGCGCATACTCTTCAGTCTGTCAATGGCCCATTGCTCGAATTGTTCGAGCGTGATTTCCGCCGTAGGAGGTATTTCATAAATGTTCAGACGGTGCGCATAGTCCTGCTGCTTGTACGTTGGGGTAGCGAATTGTCTTTTTTTGGGGTCAATAACAGCCCGTCGTTTGGGATCGATGCGATGGGCGTCTTGTCGAATCATGGTGTATGTTATGTGTTCAGTTGTCGAGATACGAATGTATGAGACCTCCGCACTAAATTGGTCAACGCGAACGCGTCGAACGCGCAGAATCACGTGAAATAAAATCACCTGGGCACCTGGGCATTTGGCGTAACTTACGTAATACAGTACCCCGGCCCCGGGGCTACCTGCACCGGGCCACCGATGCTTCCCCTGAACAGAGCGTTTTCTAAGACCACGTGCACAGACATGTGAAAGTGGCACTTATACCGAGTCAAGTAGGTAGATACATAAGTACTTGATCTTCTTTTCCGGTAGTAATGCTATATATACTCCCATAATTACCTAGACTTGAGTGCTCTGTCATATACTCCGTACCTTAAGAGGTATCCAGTTTCCCTCGGAGCCTTCACCGACCGCCGAAAGGATTAACCTTCCCCACAGAATCAACATTCTCAACAGACTTAGCCCTGGAGATATGCCACAGCTTGTCCTTTAACCCCAAGCCCTACCCTTCCCTTCAAACCATTATGCTGTCGTGATCCTGTCCATAATTATTCCCGTGGTTCCTCCCGCATCCCCAACATTCGAACCGCCGAGTCCGCCAGGACCAGCAACCTTCAAGCCTCCACGAGCTCCCAACAAAGCTATCGCACATAATGTCGCAAACGACAAAACAGCTCCGGAAGGCTGCGCGGATCATCTTGATTGGCGCACCGGGAGTAGGAAAAGGAACACAGTCCGAGCGACTGCTAGCCCGATTTCCCCAGCTGGCTTCAATCAGCTCGGGTGATCTGTTGAGAGAGAATGTGCGCCGACGCACACCCCTCGGTAAGTAGACCCAGCATAGGTGCAATAATCAATTGCATACGGAGCCGATATCTCTAACCCTAATAACAGGTCTGGAAGCCGAGGCCGCAATACAGTCCGGCAACCTTGTTCCCGACTCGATGATCCTGAACTTGATCTCCGATGATATGAAATCCAAGGGCTGGCTCCTCCCACCACGCACATCCTCAGTAAAATCCGCAATATCCTCGTCATCTTCTTCCTCAGCCGATACTTCCTCCTTGGCCCACTCAATCGATTCCTCTGCCTCGTTTATCCTCGACGGGTTTCCCCGCACCGCAACTCAAGCAGCAACCTTGGACAGCCTAGTACCGGTCAACTTTGTCGTGCACCTCATCACTCCACCATCAGTGATCCTCGCCCGTATCGCATCACGCTGGGTCCATGAGCCCTCAGGGCGGGTGTATAACACAGACTTCCACCCACCAAAGGTGCCGGGCAAAGACGATGTCACGGGCGAGCCGCTAACGCAGCGAGAGGACGATTCTCTCGATACATGGAAGCAGCGTCTACGGAAGTTTGAGGAGACGAGCAAATCCCTCCTGGAGCACTATGACCGTCAACGGTGTCTATTCCGTGCGGAGGGTAATAGCTCCGACGAGATCAGTCCAAAGCTGTTTGCCGAGGTTGAGCGGCGGTTCTGCTGAGCGAATAATAGCCTGTGTACTGACTTTTTTTTTTCTTGGAGTCTTCCAACACATCGGGAGATACTCGAGTCTTAATGCCCATTTAGCAATTGCGGCCTGATTTGGAGGTGACACCACCCCCGCATGTATAGTTTAACACAACTTGGTGTATCATATTCAGCATTCAAAGTGCGGTTTGGTCATGATCGTTGCGTACCAGCCATAGATGTGCAACACTCTATAGTGAAAGTGTAGTCGTGCCGTCTCGTCGCATGCAAATGTAAATGCCAGAACATAAGAAAAGCGACACATAAACGCTCATAGCTACAGTCGTAAGCCCAGCTTACCGGCACTCATTCATCTATTTCTGCCCAGTCTTCCCTTTACCATTCCCTTTTTCGATCGGAGGAGGGTCTCCCATACCCATCCGATTCTTATACTCCCTCGGACTCTCCCAGCCAGACCCGACACGACGATAATCCTTCCAAAGCCCCTTGGCTCGCTTCTTAGCCCACCACTCGGCCTTACGGTATTTCTTTTCCATCTTGTCACCGCCGAATTCCGAGCCAACTTTCGCTTCATAAACAGTCGCTAAGCCACGCTTCAGCATTTCGTAAGAAACATCCCGCCGACGGAATGGCGGGAAGTCAAATGCGCGCCGGACGAAGACACTCGCTACCACGCGCGAGTACTGGTCCTGCCGGTGAACGAGAGCACGGACTCGTCGGTTGGACAGATAGGATGTTAGCCAGGTGTGTGCGTCGCGCGCGAAAGGTTGTTCGGGGCGGCCGAAGTGGGCTAGTTCTGGGGCGTCGACGCCAGCGAGACGGATGTGGATCTGGGTTTGAGTGAATATGTAAGCCGCGTATAGATGTAAAGAGTTGGATTGTGGTATATGATATGTCGAGGCATAATTATGCCTGTTCTGAGCTGGAAGCGCTGAGGGTGGGAGAAGAGGTAGGTGGTGGGTGACGAACAGTTTTATCCTTCAGATCCTTCTTCACAGTAGGGACCTTTTTCCACGGTAGCCAGCCCCATCCAGCCATGCGGCCACCCGGTGTATGGAATATCCTGAAATTGTCTCCATCGCCAACGCTGGTGACTTGGCCGAAGATGCTTCGGCGTCGAAGATACGACGACGAGATGCTAGGCGCGTCGGGGATGCGCCGAAGGTAGCGGCGGTGGAAGCGCGCTGCGACGAGAATCCCGCTTGTTAGGACGACAGTTGGGAGAATGGTTCTGAGTTCTGTGAACGCTGTCCAGTCGAGGATAGAACTCGGCTTGTTCGCCGCGGAGGAGAGCCAGGAGCTAGGTGTTTGTTTTTGTTCGTCATTGGTCGACTCCGAGCTCCATGGTGGCCATCGCATCACGACCCATGCCACTTGCGTGACAAGTTTATGTGGTGTTAGAACGAGCGTTTGGGGGTGGGTTGTTGGGGTAAGAGATGATCGGTCAACCTTGGAAGGAAAGATCATCTGCACGGGTAAAGCTTCAACCACTGATACCTCTGATTGTAAACAACAACACACTGTCGATGCATTCATTACCTACAATATGCTAATGGCTGCGCTACGACCTTAGAATATTAGGACTCGTCGTCAAATGACGCCCTCAGGGTTCCTTCGAATTTTTCATTGTACGGAGCACGTCTCTAAAGATCCGAGGTCCATTTCTATGATAACACAACCTAGCAATGACTAGACCAAAAGAGAGCAATGGCGTGGCCTTTCTACCTCGCGAACTCTTTTGGATGATTCTAGGCTACCTAGAAGCAACCGAAATAGTCCGATGTCGCCACGTCTCGCGTGCCTGGAACGAAGCCTTTAGCAACCCGGCCGTCCTACTCGCACTCCTGAAGAAACATTTTCCATGGACAGAGGAAGCCAAAAGCCTGGGCTCAGAGACAGCAGTTGAAGGACAAGATCAAGGCCGTCGTCTTTTCGACCAGGTCGCTTCACGATACAGTCACCTCGAACGAGGCAAGCCCCGCTCTATCCAGAAGTACCGCCTTTGCGATGACTTTGGTAGTTCTGGAGACCGTGAATGGTATCAGGTGCAACCATGGGAGTCGCATGCCAGTCATATGAGGCGTTTTATTGACCGCCAGTTCTCTGAGGCTTTATGGACTTTCGAGAACGGCCTGCTGGTCTACCCCAGCGCCGATCATCAGTGTCTCGTACTCATGGATTTGGAAACGGACCGGCAGTTCATGGTGCCGTTTATTATTCGTGGCAAGGTCGTTCGTCGAGTACGGCTGCAGAAGAGCTTGCTCGTCATCGAGTGGGCTGAACCGAAGGCCTTCCACTGGTTGAATGATAGCGATGGTGTGCATCGTCACTTTGCGACCTCATTTGATGTGACAAGGGGTGAGAATCAGGGCTGGACTATTGTCCCGCGCAATGAATGGAAGATTATGTTTTTGGGGCATCCGCTGAGCGAGCGAGATCGGTTCTTCTCCTCTCATAGCAACACTCACTATGTGATTTACATATGGCAGCCAAATCGCAGCTTGTACACCGCCGACGAGGATGCGCCCATTGAGTCTTTGTTTGTCTGGGACATATCGAAACGATCATCATATCGACCTTCACTGGATCCCACAGGACGACTGAGAGATGACTCGCCTGATGACTCTCCATCAATTGTGGCACGATTCGGATTCCGAGACCTGGAGTTCTTCGACATCCGACAACGAGGCTGCCCAAGCATTCAGCGATTGGAGATTACGGATGATGCCCAGGCGGTCGAAGTTACAGAAAACGTTTCCGTTGGGCCGGAAGACCAACCGCCCGACCTATTCGGGCTTCCTCAGCCTGTTACTACAAGCATTCCTCTAGTCGGAAATGGGCCCCATTGGCGCCGGGATTTCGAGGGAGTTTTACCGCCTTACCGTGGGAACTGCAGCATGCAGGCAGAGAGTATGAAACTTGATGGGTATATCATGAGGGACCCTTGGTTTGGTATCATTTCTCAAGTGACTGTACTCGAGCCTCATCTTGGATTTTGTCTTCACTTTGATACCTGGACGTGGGTACAAAATCAGACTACCTATTTGAGCATCCAAACACCTCGCTCGAGCGTTACTTGTGACAATTGGGATTTTGTCGGCAGGGGGAAGCTCGCTGGTAGCGAGAAATATCTTATGGGCGAGAATTGCAATCGAGAGCTAGTGGTTTACCGGTTTGATAGATGAATTGAAGATGAACAAGAATATCTGGTCGCTTATGCGGCCTTCGTTGTTCAGGATGTAAGGTCTCTTCGAATCCGATTCTGTACCTTCAGATATCCCTCATGGGTAAAAAGTCACAGTTGGATAGAGCTGCTCAGCATCACCAACAAAGCCACACCGAGAACCGAGTCCATAGACATTGCTACCATGTTGTCTCTTTTCTGGCATTACCAGTGTGATTCATCGCAGACGGCTGCCAATGATCGGACCCAGGCAGCTTCAATAAGTCATGCAACGCACCGTTTGACGTAGATGCGACGATTCTGATTGCAGCCAAGACACTCGTAATGTGCTGTGGGGGTTTGGCATTTTATTGTTTAGCTTCAGCATATCCATGGATAGTCTCCTGGTTGGACACTCCAAGGAAGGCCACATACTCGTGCGCGCAATCTCCGACGATCTGCACCCATGTCGTCAGACAAGATACATCTGTCTCCAGCATGGCCGAGGCGTAGGATTAGGGGAGTCCCCACGAACGAGAGACCACCACACCTGGATCGCAATATATTTCAGTAGACTGGCCCCGAAGCTGAGCTCAAAGGTACATACTGTGGTACGCCAGCAAAGGTAAGGCTTCCAACGGGATTGTCATTCAAACACAGCCAAGGAGGGACAGGAAACTGTTGAGTAATGGGCTCTGCGGCGTCGACCGCATGTCTGTTAAGTATCTTCCAAGCTCGACTCTTAGTAAGGCCCTGACAGAACTGCTCAATTGCACTTCTTGCGAGCTTTGAGATCGACTACCTCGACATCGTAAGTCATGATCAGGATCTTGGATCTGAAGATATGAGGAGTGGGTAGGAGGATAATGTCAAATAATACCAGCAAAGCGGATAGTGATTTCTGTTGCAAAGGTGAATGTAGAGTGTTTCAAACAAGAACACAAAGGAAGCAAGCGACTGAGAAGCAATTCCTATTCTTGTACTCAGTTCCAATCGACACGAAGACCGGAGATCTAGCCATCTTGTAGGAGGGCACATAGGGTAGAATTAGAAGCCGAGGTGATTTCGAGGTGAACCCGAAGTGACTATATCTGTGCATGAGAAGGAAGTGGTATCTTGACCGAGATTCATTAAAATCGATAGCATGAGTGGACGTGGAATCCACCATGATATTGGCAGCTTTCCTTTTTTGTTTCGAAAGTTGAACAAAAAAATTAAGATCGAAAAGGGTCTTCCTCCCACAACACCCGAGGTCCCCCCCTTTTTCAACCACAGCGCAGAATCCAGACCGAAGGGAAATCTAGACCGAACAAACAATAGAGAAAAGAAACAAAAGAAGAACAGAAAACACATGTGATCCAATATGGATGAATCACTGCTCCTGCGTACCACAACCCGCGAACTTACATCGGACACAGGCCTTCAGACCGCAGCCAGGACAGGTGAGGACGAATGTGGGCATCCACAAGTTGCAAACATTGCACACTGGACGACATAGCTCCTTGTACCAAAGCCCAAGGTGGGAGCAAAACTTGGGATCATTCCGAACTGTAAGAGGCGAGGCATTTGGGACTGAAAGACGAACTTCTTCCAACCAGCCACAATAGATCTCCAGCATGAGGCCATTAAGTTCACCGCCGAGGTCATCAAGGGTATAGCGTCCATGGGGGTCGGCAAGCTTTTGCTTGAGGAATGAGACTAGAGGGAGCAATGAATCGTGGCCCACCATGTAGGAGTTGATCAGTTTGTCAGCATCAGAGTTGGAGTCGTCAGTGGTGGATTCGGAATTATCAGTAGTAGATTCAAAGTCCTCAACGGTAGACTTGAAATTCGAGTGCCCGTTGGCTGAATGAGTGTAGCTGCTGGAGTTGCTACTTGTTGAGAAGTCAAAGGACGAATCGTTGCTAGTAGTAGACTGAGGATTCGAAGCGCGATCAGAGTGGATTGGATCATCGTCACCGGAACGGCACTTTTTGGCGTATTCATAGGCAAATGTGTCAAATGTGTCAGCAGGGTTGCAGGTATTGATGTTCTCTTTAGGCAGGACGTGCACGAAATCTTCGAACTTATGGTCGTGGCCAAAGTCGAGTTCGTCCAAAACTCCTTCGACAACATGGTCAACCATATCGGCATATTTGGTGTCTTCGTCTTGGTCCTTCGCCATATCTGCTAGGTCACGCTTCATCCGAGCCCGCATGTTTTCTTTGCGAAGCTCTGCCCGTGCCTTCTTCACTTCTGGATCAATACCAAGCCATTCGTTCTGCCACTGGACATTTTCAGCTTCGAACTGCGCACGTTTGGCCTTAGATTCGGCCGACTCCGGGTCCATGTGCACACTTGTTCCGTAACTGTAGTAGTAGCTATGGCTGTGCTGGCGTTGTTGCCATGCTGGTTCGGCAAATGGGCCCGGCCGTTTGAAACCATATCTGTGGCGTTCTCGCTTTGACGGACAGGTGCTCTTGAACGCCCAAGCCGGTGTGTCATCCTCGGGATCTAGATGTCTCTTGGCCTTCTTTTTCAGGGCCTCGTCAAGCACGCGCCGACGGTCTTCGTCACGGAGAACCTCAACAGCATCTTGAATCTGTTTGCAATGGCTTGTCAGTGATGTTCAACAACCGCATATGATGTATCTTGAGGTTGTAGACATACTTTTCTGAATCGCTCAATGGTCGCAGAGGAATTTCCGGCCTTGTCTGGATGGAGCTTCAAGGCAAGGCGTTTGTAGGCAATGTTGATGTCAGGGAGTTTGGCATCTCGCTCAATTCCCAGAATGGCATAGGCATCAATAGCCACAGTGACGGTCGACATGTTTGCGGTCACACAAGTCTGATAGTGGATGTAAGTGTTTTGTTAAATAGGTGTGTAGACTTGAAGATAAACAGCAGTTCCAGAGGGAAAGAGAGTGTAGGAGAGAGCAATGTGAAATAAAAATGAAGGGACCTGGGTAATCAGAACAACATCTGTTAAGGAAGGTATGGGAAACAGGTGACAATGACTATATCAGTCCATACTCACCTGGGCACCGTACAAGCGTAAGGAATCAAGTTAGAAAGAAGGGCCACTGTAGAGGCCTGAGAAAAGAGGGAAATAAATGAGGTAACAGGAAAGACGATCAGACTGGTTAAGAGAATGAGACTGGGAAAAAGAATAGCAATAGAAAAAAGACAGGGGGAACAAGAGTGGAATAAAGAACAAAGACCAGAAAGGATCTTCAGCATGGGAGTCAAGAATAGCAGGAGCAAGAAGGAGATTGTGCAAAGGGAAAGGAGGAAGAGAGAGGAAGAAGAGGACTGGTAAGTATGAGGACGAGGATAATAATCCTATTGTAAGCCGAATCCCATTGATCAAAGGATCTCACATCGGTGAGAACAAGCTATCAATGGTAAGTCCCATGATCACATTGTAGGGCTCATTGAACAAAGAAGTTGTAGTCTCCAGGGTTAGGGCTAAAACGAGGGCAATGACGGTACACTGACTGGGTAGAGGCTATAAATCAGATAGTACCCAGATCTCATTGAATAGCAGAACTTATCCAACTTTATTGTTGAACGACCTAGGTTAGGGCTATACACAAAAGCAAAATCTGTACATATGAAATGGAAATGGATTGACTCTGATTTTACACAAGCTGAAGGTCGATCTAAATATGAACAAGTCTACACTAAAGGCGACTTGGTCCTGGAGAAGAAAGCTTCTACATATCCTCACTGGCGGTGGCACCGGTGATAATCTCAACCAGCTCGCCGGTAATGGTGGCCTGGCGCTGACGGTTGTACAAGATCTGGAACCTGAAGGGCTGTTAGAGACGAGTGTTGAAAACATTGGCGTTAAAACATACTTGTTGATCATCTCACCAGCGTTCTTGGAGGCGTTCTCCATGGCGTTGCGACGAGCCGAGATCTCGCAGGCGTGGCCCTCAGCCATGGCCCAGAAGAGGTTGTTGGCAAGAGCATACTCGCGGAGGCCGGTCAGAACCTCGTCGTCAACCTCGTAAGAGGAGATGTTGGCTAAATTAGATGTTAGTGAAAGCTTAGTGAACTGCTTGGGCGTAATGAAGTCTCACCGGACTGGGTGATAGCCTCCTCGGAGTAGGCCTCGATAGTGACGGGCTCGTAGGCCTGAGCGTTGACGAAAGAGTTGTAGATGATGCGAACGCTGGCGTAATCCTCGGGCAGGAGAGCGATCTGGTCGGCAATGGCCTGGGCATCGGCGAAGGTGGGGATGTCCTTGCAGACATTGGCGAAGCTCAAGACGATGTGCTCGGGAGCGACACGGGACAGATTAGCCTTGGCCTTCTCACCGAGAATAGCAATGTCGGCGTTGGGGGTCTCGGCCAAAATACGGCGAGTGGCCTTGGCAAGACCGGAGTGGATACCACCACAAAGACCCTTGTCGGAGCTGGCAACAACCAGAAGAACCTTCTTGTCCTCCAGAGGCTTGGTCTCGGCCTGCTCGAAAACGGTGTTGGATGTCTTACCATAGACGCGAGATTCGTCCATGGCTTTCTGGGCACGAGTGAGACGAGTGGACGCAACAATCTTCATGGTGTTGGTGATCTTCTCGATGTTCTTGATGGACTTGAGACGACCCTCAATTTCACGCAGAGTCGCGAAGGTGGCGGCATTGGCGGGGGTAGGGCTTGATTTCGCAGTCAGCAATTGTCGTTCTCGACTCCTCTAACATCCAGCATATCTTCCAGTTTCAATGGTGTCGAGGTGGTTGCGTCGGAGTACGTCGGGTGGAAGGACTTTGGCACGAGGTATCGGATGAAGACTTACCGAGCGACGGCGGCACCACCAGCCCGCAGGGCCGGGCGGACGGCACGGGAGAACATTATGGGAGAGGTTTAAAGAGAAAAGCGATCGAGCAGATAGTGACTGCGGAGAGGAGGGGAGTGACGAAGGTTAGACGGGGATGCCTCGCTGGTCGGGAAGGAAGTTGAGAACCAGGGAGGTTCTGTCTCCGTGCAGCCGCTAAACCAGAAAGGGGAATCATCTACGGTGAGCCATTCCGACTTCCACC